ATCCTCCCTAGAGTCCTTAGTCACAACTCTCTAGGCCATTGAGAACAACCATCCACCATTCTAATTGAGAAAGAAATACCTCATCTTCCAATTCAGTACCTTGGAAGGTAAGCCGTGTAGCAATTTACACCTAGAACGGTAGGACAGGTAGTAGATATACATCCCGGGAGTACTAGAGGGATTTTTCTTTATACGGAACATGTCGGCGAAGGTCTTGAAATCTAAGGGGAAGCCGACATGGTGACAGAAGGAGATGGTGTTGACTAGAGTCCTAATAGAGTTGGGATGAAGTTGGTCTAGGCTAACATTGTAGTAGTTCGACACCTCGAGAATAAGGGGTGAAGGGGGAATCAAAGACCTTCTTCCAAGGCCTCCTCGAAGATAGTAACCTTATCATCGTCATGCTCCCATAGGAACTACCTAAGGGGAAGGGAATACCCGAACTGGCCTGGTATCCTATATTAGTCTAAAAGCTCGTAAATGTTTTTGACAACCAGTTTGGTGGAACTGAACTCAGATTTATTTTTAGGTAGACGATGGGAGGATGAGGCTCCCCTATTGGAACCTCGCCGTTCTTGGGCCGAGGACCCCTCCTTAGCTTAGTAGGACGGACCCCTCTCTTCCCCAGACTTGACACCCGACATGATAAAAGCAAAGAATGGATCAAGGGGAGATGACTCACTTAGAATGAATAGACCGACGTTGCCGACTACACCGATGACCTCAACAATGCCGACCTTCGCAACCTTACTATGCACCAGAACTCCAAGTTTAGGGACGAGTAAGCAGATCATAGGAGAACTTCGGACACTTCACAACCACCTTAACGACCTCGGCACCACTCCGATAGGACAAACTGCTAACAACCAAGCAAAACCTCAGGTCGGAGTAAGAGGCAACCTGCTTCTATCGATCTGACCCGATTCTAGTTAGCCACCCGCCTAACATGCCAAGCAACCTCCCCCTTAACTGGGCTATTGGCTCAAAAATTCCTCGGGATCACAATGCCATGTCAGAAGAGCCAGTTATCACCCCACCCGCTTTAGGTGGGATTGGATAAGCGTTACCCCGCTTATGCGACGTCTACCTCCAGGTGTGAAACTACCTCCAAACCATATGGGCCGAAGATCTCGGATGTGTTTCATGAGGCTCACGACATTTCACCTATATAAGGACCTCACCTCCAACCTTACAAGGTATGCACGATTTGGCTCTCACAATTCTCTAGCTCTCATGCTTTCATGCAAACAACTACCAGCTTGCTAACTTAAGCGTCGGAGTGCCCACCCCAACTCAAGCTACCCAGACACTCTGATAGTCACTTTCTTGCATCTCGACCAAACGACCTACTTGATCCAACATCTTAGCTGGGAACACCAAATCACACACCATCACCCAGGACACATGATCTATGTTGCGGTTTTAACTTAAAAAACCCTTAGAACTTGCCACATGTTCTATATAATAATAAAAAGTCTCCGTCTACCCCCGTTGGATGGGGACCATCTGACTCTTGGCCCATCAATATCTTTCATGCGTCCTACCGAATGGACATTTTAATACCTAATGGGTCCACGAGAATCCATCAGATTGATCTACAATACTACATCACTCAACAACATCAACATTATACATTGGCTCTCTCTTCATATCTTCAAAGAAAAGATTCAAATGGGCCATACACGTATAGTCCAAAGCATATCACCTTCTCCTCCACAATTTTTAGAGCCTCTGTATTCTTGCGTGCAAGACTGTGAGCTATCAAATAAATGTTATCTACTAGGAAGCTGTTCAGAACCTTCGCTATAATATATTGATGGTAAACTTGTAGGTAAAATACTAACAGGCAGCTGCGTTCCATTGGCCCATGTTGCAGATATGACAGGCCCCATGAAAGAATCATTGCTTACTGAAGCGGCTTATTGCAGCCTATAAGCTATGTTTGGTGAAAAATTCAAAGAGCCAAATCGGTTGTCTATCTTGCCGAGATTATCATCTGACTTTTGATTTCTTAGGCAGCTAAATCATTTGTTAATAGAGGTGCAATTTGGGCATGCCCAATCTCAATTCGGATTGATCCAGCCCACATTTTTATATGGATTGGGCTTGAATTTTCATTATTTGGGCTGGGGCTGAATCTAAAAACCTGGGCTTTTCTATTTTTCAGGTTGTGCTTGGACCTAGACCCTAGTGATCTAAGCCTTGCCTACATATGTGCATATATATAGATACATGTGGCAGTCCTTATCTCGTATAAATCTATATATATAGATTGATAGATAGATAGGTTCATGCAACTTCTTAGTAAATTAGTCTTAATAAGCCCACTTGAGCTCAATTGACCAACCTGAGCCCTGCCGGGTCCGGGCCCATTCCAAGTATGTTGATTTTCAGTTTAGGGCTGAGTCTGACTTGAAAAGATCAGGCCTGGTCCGTACTGAGGCCTTAGGCCCAGCTGGTCTTGGATTGACATTAAATCTGGCCCAGCCTGCCTGACTTACACCCCCTATGTTATCTCAAATAGGCTCTTAATTGGAGACAATCAGCATTTTTAATAGGGTGGGAGCAATCAGCAATCAGCATTTTTAAGTTTGTGTAATTGTAAGTGATCTGCATGGAACTTGCAAAATGAATTACTGTACCTGGGCCGGATCAATTCAAACCTATGTGAGAGGCGTGAGAGACCAATGTGAGAGGACTAACGGGAGAGTTTGTGGGTAGAAGATCTGGAGTCAATTTGAACATTTGAACTATTTTTAGTCCGGTATGAATCTGACAATAATGGTGCTGAGTATGTATTTTTACAGTTTATATTATACTTTCACAAGGTTAGATATGTAATCTTACCATTGCTTTTACATGTGTCTATGTAAAGGGTGTTTGTATTTTTTTACTATGGTTTACTTTTATGCCATCTGATTTGATCATTTTACACAAATACATGAAAAACAATTGTGAGTAGGTATAATCTGATTATTTTGAATTCATATGATATATGCATATAATCGAATTTTGAAATTTGGGTTTATTTAATAATTGGATCAGATGTAAATTCGAACGTGACAAGTGGGGGGATGAATCAAGATTCAAGGGGGAATAAATCATAAGTGGAGGTGTTGGTAAATAAAATCCAAAAAGCCACCAAAAATCCATGAGGTGGATTGCTACAAGTTTCTGTTTATTTATTTATTTATTTTTATTTTTCTTCCTTTAAAAAATAATGAAGTAGAACTGGATTAAATTGGAATCCAATCTAGAATCATACAGGATTCAGATATTTTCCAATATCTGTAGGATTTTGGGTTAGATTCAGATTTATATTTTAAATAATCTGATCAGATTTAAATGTGTCATTGGAAGATATTTTCCAATATCTCAGCATGCATTGGGAATATCTCTTGAAGTTGTCATTGGAAGATGTTCTCAATACATAGTTGGGATGAATCTCTAACTCTAACCGTAACAGCAAACCAATTTTCAATTTGACCTAGTCAACTTTACCTTCATTAGGCCCAATCCAACCTATCTCCCATCCTCTTAAAAAAAAAAAAACACTGAAAATCCCTTAATATATCTTTGATTAAGAGAACTAAATTCTACTTTAATGACCACATATTGATAATATTTTATTGATATTTGCTTGTTTGGTGTTTCCATTGGTTCTTTTGGCTCAATTTGGAAGGAGAACAAATACGAAAACCAAGTTAGGTTGTGTGTATTTGCACTGTATATTTGTATTATTTCCGAATTGAGCCTTTGGTTCAAAATTGAAAAAAAAAGGAAATATGTTAAATGATTAGAATTTATTAGGAATTATGGTTGATTTTCTATTGAATAAAATCATGAAATCAGCAATAATAAGATATAAAACTATGGAATGAAAATCTCTAATGACAACTTGTTATTAGGGTTAGGGCTTAAGAGATATGATAAATAAATTATGATAATATATAGAAGGAAATCCTAACCTTATCGTCTATCACTCAACCTGACCCAACTTCTTTCGTGTTGGGTTTAGGCTAACCATGCTCAAACTGAAGTCCTAATTCATTGCCTCTCAGCCTAGGATAGAAGCAGTCCCACTGAGCAGGAAGATTTCTTATATATAGTAAAGAGTTGGGTAAAACCATCTTCATCATCATTTAAGCCTTGTTACAATTATGTGGAGTTGATTAAGGGTGTTAATGGACTGGTTTTAGACTGGACCTCGTCCAATCCAAAATCAATTTGGATGGATTGGACAAATTAAAAAGACATAGTGGATTGGATCAATCCGGTCTAAAATATTTATTAGATTGGACTGGAACTGGTTCGTCCGTAATAAATTTATATTGAATTTAGTTGGATTAAGCCAATATCCGGTCCATTGATATGAAATAAGAATATAGGTGTCAATGGACTGGGTTTGGGTTGAAACCAATCTAAATTGAAATGAATTTGAACAAATTGGATAGTCCGAACATTAAATTGGACCAGTCCAAAATGGTCCAAATTATTGATTGGATTGGATTAGATTGGACCTAATCCATTTGTAATGGACTCACATTGGACTGTATTGGATTGGACCAAATCCAGTCCAATCGACACCCCTACTGCTAGTGCCCTTTGGTTTTTCCTCTCTCACTTTCAGGGTGGAGGTTAAGGAGAATAGGACGCTTAGATTTTGTTTAGTTTGAAGGAAAATGAAGGAAAAAGTACGGAAACTCACTGGCTTTAATGGGTCCTCTGTTCCAGACTTGTTGGGTCATGGAATCCTTAATGATTGTACACTGAAGAAATTCCAGTTAAAGGTTTGTGATAGTTGGTGACAACAAAATACTACATGAATTCTATTTCACCATTTCACCATTCCATTCTGTTCGGTGCTCATATCTTTGTTAAATTATGAGCAATTAAACCATTTCCATGTCAAAATTTTATTTTTGTGCATCAACAATAGAATGCCTTCCAAAAGCCATAAAATAAGTAAGAACAATAGGCCTATCACAAAAATTCTAGACTAGGAAAAGGTGGACGGCATTACATATATTCTATAATAAAAAGTTAAATATATAATACGGATACATATGATGACTTATAAGCCTTAAATAAAGATGCAAATCGCATCCAACTTTGAGGAAAATTTCCCAACAAAGCTTAACATTCCAGCATTAAACAAGAGTCTAGACTGGTTATCAGAAAGTAAATGGTGACAAAAGCACTAGACTCTAAAGTGAACTAAGCTTGGATTGATGTATTTTGGAACCCTACGTTGTGGAGGAAATTTGGGGAGAGAATCCGCTATATGTTTAGCAGTCTTCAAGTAGGAAGCATATTTTCTGATTACCCCAACATCTTTATTATCAACATTATCTTCATGTATCTCACTTGATTCGTCACTGTTAACTCTGCTTGTGAGATTAGCATCAGAAAATGACGAGTAACCCACATCAAGCTCAGGCTTTTTCTTCCCATTTAGATTCTCCATGAAGGCTGTCTTTCTAAAACTCCAGGTCCCAGTCTTCCAGTTGAAGTGATAAAGTGGAAGGAAGCGCTGACCATACATTGCAATGAACTCTAGTGCAGCCAGGATGAACTCGAACTCTTCCATAGACATGTAATAAGGGAAGCTAACTCTTGCCCATCCAGGTTTTATTCCATTATAGCCCTGTAAAACAATTATAACGAATGAGCAAGCATGTAATAAGATCAATTTAAATTGACTTAATTGTGCACTGGATTTTACCATTTTAGAACCAATCCAAGGTCTAGTACTCATGAACCTTAGGCTGTGGCATTAGCTAGGGGCACAAGCATGTGGGCTTGGGCTGCCATGAGTGTTGTACCAGGGGTTGAGGCTCTCTGTTTTTAGAATTAATTCATGTCTTATAGACTTAGTTGATTTTTCTTTTGGTATGATATAGACTTAGGGCCCGTTTGGTTCGCAAGAATAATGGTCTGGAATCGGAATTGGAATAGATCATTCGATTCCAACTGTTTGGTTGAATGGAATTGAAAACCCATTCCCATTTCTGGGGGAATGGCATTCCCCCATTTGAGGGAATGGCCATTCCTTCCCTTTCCCTAGGGAATGAAATCTCATTTTAGCTTATTCTAATTTTTATTCCTATTCTTGTCTGAACCAAACAGACTATGGGAATAGACCATTCTAATTCCAATTCCAAGGATTTTGATTTGGATTCCGACTGCAAAATAAATGAACCCCTAGTTCATTGAGCATTTCTTGAATGGCAATGAGTCAATGACCCTCAAAATGTTCTTGAGCCAGCCCAAACGAAATAGGAATGCACTTTCATGCAGACCTGCCAATTGGGTCAGGTCGGGTCAATTGGGCCATTTTGGAGCACATAGCCAAACACCCATCTTCTGATTCACAAGTAGTAACCATATTTACCTTTTGAATGGCAGATCGGAAGGCAAGCGAAAGCGGCTCCTGAACACCAAGCAAATGATGACCATAGGGCCCAGCACAAGCACATCCACCTCGAGCCTGTATGCCGAATAGGTCATTTAGGAGCTTTGCATTAAAAGGTCCATGGAGAGGTTTATCTTTCTTGTTGCCAGACTCCCTCCACATATAAAGTCCTCTCTCCCCTATCTTTGATGTTTCATCTGAGGAGGCATTTGAAGTGGTGAAGACGAGGAAGGATAGAATTGCTAGTCTCTTTGTGCTTGTATTTCCTAACACCCAAATGTTTGGATTGGAGAGGAGTCTTCTAAGGGCTGTATTTATGTAGATATGTTCCTGAGCTTCAATTACACTATAACCAATGTATTGTTTCACCCAGAAAGCCAAAGCAGCTCGTATCTTCTGGATAATTGGTGGTGTCCCAGCATCTTCCCTCTCTTCGATGTCATCATAATACAAAGTGTCCTTCAAATGATTTTAATAGATTAGCTAAACCATGATCAAGGAATCGGAAAGTTAAGTAATTCTATATCCAATTAAAGAAAAAGTTCCAAGCTATATTTAAGTTCAACTACTCAGATCAATTGATCAATTCAATTCAACTAAATTAGGCCTTTTGCCAACTATATGGGGTCAAGCTGCATGAATCCTGTTCTATTCAATGCCAAGTCCAATATAGCCTCTAAATTATTTCTCGCTGCTTCAATCCATGACTTTGTTGAATATATCAAGCTAGTTTTTTATAACTGAGACTTGATGATGCTTAGTAATTAAGTATTTGCTAGGGTTTCAAATAATATCCATTTGTTGGAATTAGGGCTACAATTCAGATTGCCAAATTTGAAGAATTTAAACTACATCAGGCTTAGATTAGTGTTTGGGCCTACTGAAAATTTAATAAATTCCGAATCCAATCCAACCCAAGTTGCACCCCTAGTCTCAATTTGAAGTCAAATTCAATCTTTAAAATATGATCCAGTAATATTTAAGTATAATAAGCAAGGTTTTTAAAACCGATCCGGATAACAAACCGGTCAGGGATCCGGTTCCCTGGTTGAATGGTCAGCTCGTTCTGATAAAAAATAAAAGATGGTCAAAACCGTTAAACAATTCAAACGGTTCAAATGGTTCAACCACCCAGATCAACGGTTTGTTGATCAAATCAACATTTTTCTGACAAAAAATCGGTTTTAGAGAAAAGAGGAACCAGTCACCTTACCAGTTTCCAATTTTTCCAGTCCGATCCGGTTTTGAAAATAAGTTTATTTTAAAAAAATGATTAATAATTTAATATGCATTTATTAATAAAATACAATCTCAGAAAATGTGAATTTGAGTCTGAGAGCGACCACTTGATGAACTGCCAAAGGTTAAAACTCTATTCAGTCTATCCCTCCCAAGACCACCAACATTGGATAATGGCCTGAAGGTTGTTTTACCAAACTGTCGAAAGTTCTAGTCTTTTAGTATTTCCTTCCAATAAGTCAGTTATTCATTTTTAGTTTATTTTATTAAATGTATCAATATCCGAATGTAAATGTACCCTGTGAGGAAACTTGTCGTTTCCTGATATTCATTTATAGAAGATTGATACTAGTAATTAATGGGTATATGGTGTCTACCCACCATCAGAATAAGAGGTATCCCAAATTAACTCTCCAGTAGGTAAACCAATTAATGGTGATGTAGATGGGCTACCAAAGCTTTTAGTTAATCCAAGAGAATGGGCATTCTGGGTACTAGAGAAGTGCAAATATATATATAACTAGGTACAATCTTCCCATGCAAAATGGTTGATATAGCTTACCCTTTCAGAGAATCCGTTGACAAAGCTAACAGTTCCTCCTCCACAGGTGGAAGGGGGAGAGAACCTCAGCTGATACAAGGCCTTGCTCATCAGAAGGATACCAGGGGTTCCGGGCCCACCTAGAAACTTATGTGGGCTAAGAAAAATAGCATCATAACCATCAAGCTCTCCTGATCTCATATCAATCTCTACATAAGGAGCACTGCACAAAATATAATTAATTATCATCCTAAGTGTCATGGAATTAATCTATCAAGATAAGTTTGTTAAATCAAGCCACAGAAACCATCAAAGGAGACAGACCTTGCAGCAAAGTCAAAGCATGCAAAAGCACCATTCTGGTGAAGAAGCTGGGCGATGGCTCGTGTTTCAGTGTAGACTCCAGTGACATTGCTGCAAGCTGAGAAGGAACCCAACATAGGACGGTTGGAGGATTTGAAAGACTCAAGTTGGAATCTCAGAGTTTCCATGTCTGTAAGTCCATCATCTTTGATGCCAATCTCTATGACCTCTGCTAGGCTTTGGCGCCATGATAGAAGGTTGGAGTGGTGCTCATATGGCCCCACGAATACCACCCATCTCTCCTCACTGCTCAGGCTCTTCACCATTCTTTCTCTCATGCATGAAGGAACTGCAATCCCCATCACCTCTTGTAGGCGCTTGATGGAAGCAGTGGTGCCAGAGCCACAGAACAGGAGTGCATCATCTTCTCCCCCACCCAAGCATCTCTTGATGTATTCAGTTGCTTCATGCACCATCTTGGTCGTCCTCTCTCCCACGAAGCTATCACTTGTGTGAGTGTTCCCTGCCCACAAATGAACAAATGAAAATAACTGCAGAGATTAATTTATAACAGAAGGCATTATCTGAATTCATCTATGAACAAATTAAATAATGGGTCATTCATCACTTCTGAGTATTTAAGGGTTTTGGGCTTAAAGATTTGAAATTAATTAAGCTTACCATAAAAAGGAAGAACATCATTTATGATGTAATTCTCAATATAATGAAGTCCCCTCCCAGAGGCAGTGTGATCAGCATATGTAAGTTGACGCTTCCCAAATGGGGTTTCAAATTCAACATCTTTGCCTATCAACTGTGAGCGCAACCATGCAAATTTTGTCTCAGCAGCATCGCTCCTCTCCACATCCATCCGAAGCATTCTAAAGGATTCTGATCCATGGTTCAGATCATTGGAGTCTAATGGGTTTCTTCTCATGGATGAATTGATCTTCTTATTGTTATTGCAGCTAGCATGGTCTGCAACCTTTACTGGGTCATTTTGCATCTTTTCCAAGATGGGTTTCTCAAATTCCATGGCTGTGGAAGGATGCAATAGAAGACGCGGTTGGATATGGGGTATGAGGAGCTAGGAGGAGGAGGTGAAGTGAATTGTTGTATGTTGAGAGGGAGGACATGGGGCATGCTATATATAGGAAGCAACAAAGCAAATAGCTGATGGCTTTTACTAGCTAGATTGTACTATATATGGAGATGGTTGCAAGTTGTTTTAAATATCAACAAACACAACTATATTTGAAAAATCAAACTGATACTACCATTAATAGAGATAGGTGGAAATTTTTTCTTTTACTCGATAGTAATAATACCAGCAGTTTCATGGTGTTTGGTATCCCCTTAGTACCGACTAGGGAGTAGTGACTACTGGGTCATTCATATAACTTTGCCACAAATGCCTTTAACTCGGCGGCCACATGATGAATGTGGCAACTGGCAACCGAACAAGTGGGTGCACACTATAGGAAAAGAAAAAAAGAATAAAATATAAAAAAGCAAGTGGGTGCAATAACGTGACCAGAATTTTTTTTTGGTTTTCTGTCAAATTTACTATTTGTTTTTTCCATTTTTAGAGATTTCTGTCTAATTAATGATTGCCATGGAAACTTTTTTAAATTTTATGTAAGCAAATTATTAAATTAAAACTAGTCCCCATGGTTATGAAATAAACGTGTTATTTTCTTTTATTTTGCAGGTAAAAGTTTTTAAGGCTGAAACGCTTGGCCATCTTTAGTATCTTTTCGTTAATTTATCCCAGGAAATGTGGTCACACAGAGATAAGAGATAAAGTTTAGAATAGATGAATAATATAATGACAAATTAATCTAATGGAAATTAAACAACTTAAGTTTAAGAGAGAGCAATGGTCGGTGATCATTCATTAACCGAGACTAATGTGAATTTATAGAGTATTAGTACAGGAGTCTGTTGTACATTAGAATTCTTGTGATATGATTGGTTATTGACAGTGTTTTAGATAGAATGAAACAACAACTAAGATAACTTGTGAGAGTGGGAGCCATGCATGTTCGCGCATTATCCAAATTAAAACCGGTTCTCTATCAGCCCCTTGCAAGCTGAATGGGGTGACGTGAAGCTTAAACCTGAGCATCTCAAAGAGGCTTGGTGAGTAGTGAATACATCAACAATTTGATCACCAGAGGGTATGTATCAAATGTAAAGTTTCTTGCTAATGGATAGATGCCAAAGAAAATGGAGATTAACTTCAACATGTTTGATATATATGCGCATGGAAAATAGGATTGGCAGAGAGATACATGGCGCCAATGTCCAAGATCTTTGAGAAGAGATTGAATCCATAGAAGTTTGTGAAAAATTTGTCAAGAGCATGAAATTATGACTCGGTACTAGACCGAGCAATAGTGGATTGTTTCTTGAAACTCCAAGCAATGAGAATCAAACCCAAGAAGATTTCATAACCTCTAGTTGAGCATCGATCATTTGGACAGCTAGCCCAATTGGCATTAGTGTAATTAGTGAGTTGAAGAGAGGATGATGAATTGAACTGAAGTCAGTGGTTCTCTTTACAATGATCCAATGCTCATCAGTAGAAGAGTGCAAGAACTGACAAACTTTGTTGACAATAAATGATATATGTCCAATCTTGTGATGGTAACATACTACAAAGCTCCCACAATGCTTTAATGTTCAGTGGGATTAGACAGTGGTGAATGGTGAACCTGATTCATAGGATACTTTGCAAGAGGCAGCCACAGGAGAAGCTTGATGTCGTCCAATTTGGTTTGGGACAAGAGATCTATAATGTATCATTGTTGGGAGAGAAACGATCCTTTGGGGGTGAATTCACTTCAATCCCACAAAATGTATAGAATGGTGCCTCCATGATCAAGGATAGAAAGATAGGGGTCAGTAGTGGAGTTGCAAAAACCCAGGCAGAGAAGAACAGAACTGAGGTGAGAATACCAAGCCCAGGGTGCTTGCTTCAAGCCATAGAGAACACAAGTTGGGTGGTTTGGATCCATAAAACCCTTGGACTGATGAACATAGATATTTTTGTCAAGAATCCATGAAGAAATGCATTATTAATGTCCAATTGTCAAATTAGCCAAGAGTGAGAGACAATCAGAGCAAGTACGGTACATACAATGATTGGGTTAACAACCGGGCTAAAGGTATGAAAGAAATCCAAACCAGGGACTTGGGTGAAAGCCCTGAACAATCAACCATCCTTTGTAACAATCAAGAGAACCATCAAACTTTTTCTTTATTTTATTTATACACCCATTTAGTACCAATTATATTCATAGAAGGATCATAAGGGACCCATTCCTAGGTTCCATTAGCGATCAGTGTTCAAATTTGACTACTTGAGTGAAGGGTCGTGGCTCACGTTCTTTAGTGGAAATGAGAGATAGGAGTGTTGATAGAAGTGGATACTTTGTAGCATTGTGCAATTTGGGCGGAAGTCTACCATCATTGATCTGGTTCTCATTGAATAAGTGCAAGTCGGAGAAGGAAAATTCGAAGTGTTGTCAAGAAGTTCCTGAGTGCTTCAGTATCACTCTATCTATATGGGGGAAGAGGATGGCTCAGTTGTAGATGATGATGCTGGCTGAGGCAGCATTGTTGCAAGAGGAGAAGGTGGGGCCAAATTAGAGGACAGAAGTGATGTTGAAGATACTGGAGAGATATCTTGCAATGGTGTTGAAATGTAGACACCCATTGAAGAAGGTGATGTACATGAGGAGGAAGATAATGAGAAACCAGGAAATAATTCATCAAATACCACATGTCTAGAAACAAAAACTCAACTTGTAGGAACATAAAGGCACTTATTGTGAATTGTTGTACCCAATGAATAAGCACCTCAAAGATCAAAACATAAATTTGTTTTTGCTATAGGTCACAACGAGTAGCATGAACACCCAAAACATCTAAGCATGGAATAGTCTGGACTCTGGAGCTCTATGAAATATTTTTCATATGGAGACATACCATTCCATGGGCAGTTGGAAGTTGATTAATTAGGTAAGTTGTAGTTTTAACCTCTTTAGTCAAGAAGCAGAAGGGGAGATTTGAGGTGGCCAGATATTGAATTGGACCAATTTTGGATTGGACCCCGTCCAGTCCAAAATCAATTTGGACAGATTGGACAGACCAACAAGACATTGGATTGGAGCAATCTGGTCCAAAATATTTTTCAGATTGGATTGGACCTGGTCAATCCATAGTAAATTTATATTGGATTGGGTTGGATTAAGCCAATATCTGGTCCATTGATATAAGATAAGAATATAGGTGTCAATGGACCAGGTTTGGGTTGAAACCAATCTAAATCAAAATGAATTTGAACAGATTGGATGGTCTAGATATTGAATTGGACCAGTCCAAAATGGTCCAAAATATTCATTGGACTGGATTGGACTTGGTCCATTTATAATGGATTCACACTGGACTGGATCAGATTGGACCAAATCCAGTCCAATAGACACCCCTACTAGAGAGAGGGTTGACACATGCCTGTCCTTCCATTCAATAAATCCATTTTGTTCATGTATATGAGGACAAGCCAGCCGAAGAGAAATACCCTTTGAATCTAAATAGCAAGAGCAATTCTGATGCTCTCTTCCCTAGTCAAATTGAAATGATTGAATTTTGGTATCAAAGAGAACTTCAACATGTTGTTTAGAAAAAAATATCAAATACTTTAGATTTTTGAGCCATAGGATAGATCCATGAAAATTTAGAGAAATCATCCAAAAATAAAACATAAAAGGAATAACCATTATTTGACTTGATGGGGCTGGATCCCAAACATCTAAGAAACTTAAAACCCAAAGGATACATAAGCTGAAAATTAAAGGACTGAAGATAACCTACCACTCTTACCCATTTGACATGATTCACAAACAGGCTAACTTTACCTATCACTACTATAAGGAAGACCATATTTTTAAAATAACTTGTTGTACAATGCAAAGAGTTGCATTACCAAGATGTAGGTGCCAACCACGAGTTGAAGTTCCTTCTTCAACAAGAGCTTCCAATGTCTGAGAAATTGTGCCTAATGAGGGAATGATGGGAAATAGTACAATCCATCCCTATAGACCTCTCACAAAAGTATATATGCCCACATAGTCCTTCATAACACAACTATCTGAGAACAAATTATTGCAAATAGAAGGAGCATGATAGATATCATTTAAGGTAAAAGTAGGGGTGCTCACGGTTCAATTAATCGAACTCTGGGGCATATTTTGGAATCAAAACAGTACTACTGGTTTTTGGAAAACCGTAACTAGAACCAAAACAAAGCTCGTCAGTTAACCATCGGTTCAGTTCGTTAGTTTTTTTATTTTTTATTTTTTACAATATATTATAAATATATATATATAAATATATATATATATATATAATATTATATTTTGAATAATATATATTTATATATAATGCATATTTATTAATTTATAATATATAATATATATTATATATATAATATAGAAATCTATGTATAATGGTCGGCTTGGTGAATCATTAGTTTTTTATTTTGGTTAACCAAAATCGAACTGGTACCTTTAGTTTTTTAAAAGCACTAAACCAAAACCGAACTGACCGGTTTGGTTAACCGATGTTTCGGTTCGATTTTGATTGATTTTTTTCAGTCGGTTCGGTTTTTTCGATTTTTTTACTCACCTCTAGGTAAAAGCATATTCATTATAAAACAAAGATGATGAGCCAGAGTAATGTATGTGCAAACCTTGGCCATTCCCAACTTTCACCTGGTTGGAAGCCATGTACTTTGATCGATTTTGTATATTGTCTAGTTCTGGAGTCATATGGTGAGTAGCGCCTGAATCCATGTACCAAGTTGGATCAAAAGAGGAGCTTCCATTCCATTATGTGGACTCACAAATTGAGAGCTAATAACTCCATAAAAACCAAAACCATATCATGCTCAACGACATTGGAGAGCACCATGGCCGATATTATTACAAATCTAACAAATCAAATTAGGATTCTTATCTCTATAGTCACCATTGAACTGTTATTGTTGATTGTTGAACATGTTTTATTGATAGTGTTGTTGATATTTGTACTAAGGATATCCACAATCATGACCTCGGCCTCTACTAGT